GATGTTCTGAGAGTTTGACCGATCTAGTCTAGACCTTTGATTTAGAGCCAAAGTTTTCAAGTACAAACCAGAGATAACACGGGAACTGACAAATATTGACTCAGGAAGAATTGAAGATTTTACCCTGAAAATATGTATGTCTCATAAAGGAAAGATGTCCAACTTGGACACTGGGTGAGGATACTTTTCAGAAATGAGTAATGACAAAAACATATAGGCGGGGGGGGAAAAAAAAAAGGGAGAAATCTCTTCCTTAACTTTGCCTTTACTACTGAAGTATACGGCCCTTTTTCAGGAATACAAGGTGATAATGCACGAGGACTAACATTTCTATTAGCCAGAAAGGAACTTGGGACACCCAGACATCTTAGTTAATAGCCCCTTTATTGGAGCTCACATGAGAATTATAAAGAGGACAATAAAGACAATCTTACCTCCCTTCAGATGCTGGGAATCCCAAGCTCTGCAGCATCAGACACACCTCCAGTCAGGGAACAGCTCGTGATGCAGATCCCATCTGTGGAGAGATTCCCCAATGTTTTGGTTTGTAGGATCTTCTGAGAAGAAAACCACCCTGGTCATCATTGCTGCTGTTAAACAAAGGATGCTCACACAAAAACACGCTGCTTCACTTTCAGCTAAAGACAACATGCAGGTGCTGCAATTGCCAGTGCCAGGAGGGAGCTCCTACAGGTTACAATTACCTGGCCAAGTATTTTCTGTGGCCAGAAGGCCAAGCTGCACCTGCACCAGAGCACAGCATAGCCTGTACTGTAACATAACCTGCGCCTTCTCAGGTTAACTGCCATGTGGGTCATTAACTCCCTTATGTACAATGGTCTTCTGGTTACAACACTGCTGAAATAGAACTGTCATAGTGTACAGACCATCACATTCCTGGCCTAAAGGTTAAGCAAGGTTATTGGGTAATTTACCAGTTTTCAGCAATGTAAGTATTAGCTGTGTGGGAATTCGGAAAATACAACATAGCACTATAAAAAAATTATTTAATTGTTCTGCAACTTCAAGTCTTCAACAAGATGACAGATAATCCTGTTAAAGTTAGTCTGAAGTTGCATAAGAACTCCAGTGCATACAGAAGCTAAGTGAAGTATCTCCTCCCAACAGTTAAATATATTTATTTCAGGATACAAATCCTTTAATGCAGTATAAAAAAAAATACAGAAAGAATGCCTTTAATAGGTGAAACAAAAATCCATTGCAGCCAGGATTTCCTGTGTGCATGGGAGTGCCCCAAGACACACTATGGTGCAGTCCCTCTCCCAGCAGTTCGGGCTGCACTTTCCACCACATCTGCTTATTTACACCCTCTCCATCCTGCCCCTACACCAGTGGCAGGATGCCCTCGCCAGCTGCCTCCTAGCCCCGGCCAAACGGCCGTTCACACCACCAGCAGGAGGAAGCTGGCGGGGCAATAAGAAAAACCATTTTATCTGTGGGATCTGCATTCCGCCCCCGAAGCAGTGGACATGGGCTGCTTGCACACCTCCAGATGGTGAGCACTGACAAGGGTGCTCCTGTTTGACATCTTTGGCCCTGGTCCAGTGATGTTCATACATATTCCTCCTCTGCCCCTGCACCTGTTGCTGCCTCTGGTCAATTACCTCCCACCCCCCCAACCCCTTCCCCTTCATCTTTAGCCCCTTTCCTCTGTGAGGGTTTTAAGATTTTTCAGTATAATTCACATGCAGAATTCAAGAGCTCAGTAGGGATTAGGAGAAGAGGAGCACATCCTACAGCCACTGCTCGAGGCTGAGCAGAAGAGCCAGGGCACTTTCTCTGGGACTTCCCCAGCACCCACCTTCACGGTTTAGTGATGTTAGATAGTATAGGCTTGGCTTTATTACCTGTTACCCATGAAGTTGTCCAACCCTTTTTGAACCTGTTGATACCTGTGATCTGTATCCCCAACATCTCCTGCAAACAAGTCCTCTTTTAGGGTTTTAAACAAGTCTTCTGCTGATTTTATCAAGTAGCCCTAATGCTGATGTTCTAAGATTTTATGAAAATAGCTCTGCCCAACTCTCTGCCTGCTTTTGTAAAGCTAGCTCCGTCACATCCACATTTGTAGTCTCCTCCTCCCACTGGAGCCCTACCTTCCCCAGCTCCATGGCAATTTGGTTTCCTTCATACCATTTGGTGTGGAACCTAGTCAAAAGATGCTGGCAACTCACCAGACCCCTGGCACCAAAGCTGGATCTAGCACTAGGTGACACACCTTGGCCTGCAGCTGTTTCACAGCTCCATTCCTTTAGAAGTAATGGCTGACTGAATTTCATCTGGGCCGGGGGGCATTACTGAGCATACCTGTTTGGTGCAATAAATCCTGCACATGTACCTTAGCTTGAGATAAATTCTAACTGCCTGCTACAAAAAAAATGCAGGAGGTGTTGTAATTTATGTTTTCAGTAGTAGAAACCAGTGACCTGCAATAGATGGCAAATCCCAAGCTGTATGTACCCGGTCTTAAAACCGGAAAGAAAACAATATCGCATTCCCTTATTTAATTCTTTCAGCATTTTTTCTCACCATGAACAGCTATAACGTACTAACCTCATTGCTAACTTTCAGTGTTCGGTCTTTTGGATTATTAAAACCAACCACACTGTGCTGCTCTTCCTTAGCTCAGGAGATGAGATTTGCTTTGACCATGCCCCAGATCAGCAGATCAAAGTAGGAGCCTACACGTCCCCAACCATTCTCTTACAGGTGTTTCAGATAGCACACAAGAGTTGGAGCACAGGATCCAACTGAAGGTACATACTGGGTTACCTTCACTAGAATAAGTGAGGATGAAATGCAGGCACCATGACTACACCTAGAGAGAGATGTTGAGACTGTCTAGAGAGAGGGTCTAGAGCACAAGTCTTATGAAGAGCAGCTGAGGGAGCTAGGGTTGTTTAGCTTGGAGAAAAGGAGGCTGAGGGGAGACCTTATCACTCTCTACAACTACCTGAAAGGAGGTCGTAGCAAGATGGGTCTCATTCTCTTCTCCCAAGTAGCAAGAATAGGACAAGAGGAAATGGCCTCGAGTTGTGCCAGAGCAGGTTTAGATTCAATATTAGGAAAAATTTCTTCACCAAAAAGGTGAAGCATTGGAACAGGCTGCCCAGGGAAGTGTTTGTCACCATCCCTGGAGGTATTTAAAAGACGTGTAGATGTGGTGCTTAGGGATGTGGTTTAGTGCTGGACTTGGCAGTGTAAGGTTTGTGGTTGGACTCAATGATCTTAAAGGTCTTTTCCAACCTAAACGATTTTATGATTCTCTGATTGTATGTTGACATGTAAAGCAAACAAAGTAAAAAATAAAGCCAGAAGAATGCAGCAGGTTTGGAGGCATTTAGGTCAATGATTCTACCTAAACCGTGATCATTTTACACTGGTATAAGTTCATTCAGCTAAGTAACTCCTGTGATAACTGGCTTATTTCTAGAGAACAACTCCATCTGGAAAACCACTGTTGTGAAAGATTACACTTTGCCCCAACAGAGGAAAAAAAAATAATTTGAAATAATTCCAATTCTTGTAAGTTCTGCCTTCAAGAGCTGCCAGTCTGCAAACTGCCGTGCACGCTGAAGAGTCACTCAAAAATTTATTTATTCCATACAAATAGTTCTAACCTTCGCATGTATCAGAGAGCACAAAACGCTGGCTGGGGCACTTAAGGAAAAAAGCGAGTTGAAATGTAAAAAGCAATTCACATTCAAAGACAAGGACAAAGCAGAGAAGAAAACCCATTACAGTAAAAGCACTCCTTCACGCAATCGACCGTTCCCACAACACTGTTTGTTTACTGCAGGATCAGGTACCTGAAGGTCCCAACAATCTGGTGACACCAGTAATTTTCAGTGACACTCATTTATAAGTAATTTCAGAGACAAATCAACCAAAACCATCAGCAATTCAAGTACATCCCAGTAATTACAGAGACAAACCCCTTTTTAAAAAATGCTATGAACAAAGTCAGGCACCCTCAGCCATTTTTGGCACAGCAGGCTTTGATACATTTAAACTGAAAGACTACAGCTCACCTTCAAATACAGTTTGAAAGGTGAAACAGCTCTACATATAACCTTAAGTACTTGAAAAATCATAACAAGGAAAAAACTGGAAGTCTTTACCTTTTTGAAGTACTCTGATCATAACAGACTTTGGGACTTGGAATCCGGCAAATTTCATACAGCAGCATTTTCAAGGAGCAGCACCTGAATTCAACTTAAAAATTTTGCAGGGGAAGACGCCAAAATACCTTGCTAAATTAGTAGGTTTTTATATTACATTTTTATTTTGCAAGAAAATAAATTATACAACTTAAAAAATAAAATTCAAAAATTAAGCAGTACATCAAAATAGTTCAGCTGGACTGCCATACAGAAACTACCACCATTCAAAATTGTACAGCATTATTATCTTGGTAGTGGCACACATTCAAAATTGTAAATACCATACGTAGATAAGATATTACAACTCAGGAACTCAAGTTTGCTCAACACTCCAGACTACATATAGTGTATATGACAGGAAAGCTTTCATGTATTGTTTATTTCACAAATATGACCTCAAAGAATTACAAAGATAGCATCCCAGTCATTTAGATGAAAATAGAAAACAGTTTGAGTTTAAGATAGCAAATCTTTCTGTAAAACTATCAAATCTTTTTGCCAATTGTATTTTTAAAATTTGCACTTTACAGGACAATGGCATCCCAATGCAAATAAATGCAATGTGAATATTCAAAACATTTATATTAACTTTAAAAAGGTGAAAATGAGAAAGTCACATTGTCATTTGGAAATGTAACTGCATTACAGTCATAACAAATGAAAGATAGATGAGTAAAAATAGAAGCTAGGGACACCAACTATGGAAACAGGAAAATGGAAGACTTCAGAATTGAAACTGAGATCCTCATCAAGTTGTTGGGACAGAGAAAGGTTTAACAGTATGTCTTAATTAAACCCATTAAGAGTGATTTCCCCCCCCCCCTCTTCTACACCAGATTTCATTCCAGAGCTATTCACCGTGGCAGTGTGTGTGGCAACATGTTTTTCAGATGCAGCACCTCTTTAAGCTAGGTCTTTGGACATACATATTCATAGCTAAAAATTGCAGCCTTAAAAGTGCGTTGTTGCCATATTGCAAGTGAAGAATAGTTCATTTTCATTTAGATATGAACTCTACCCTCCCCAAAAGAACAGTTCACCCCAGATATCTCCCTGTGCCCCAGGTGATACTAGTTTTAAGTGCATATTGGTGAAAATGACCTGATGAAGGACGCTAAATGTGATTCTGAATCTTTAACAGATTTGCTGGTGTGAGTCTCAGATTTAATAAAAAACCCAACATCCATTTCCGGTACATATTTAAAGAAAAATGACCATGTCTTAGGCACATTACCAATTCCATTTCTGCATCCCAGGTGTTGAGAAATATATAGGTAACATTTAGGTTGTATTATTTTATATTTATTAGTTGAGGGAACGTGTAGCTCCTTAGCTTTGAGCAACCGCTTTCTGCATACACAACTGTTTAGGAAGCCAGAGTATGAGATGCAGTCTTTTAAACTTCTCCCTCAAATCTAAATCAATGGCTTCAAAATCAGCATTACCCCCTTTGCAGCTCCTTCTGCAAGACAATTTCACACCTGCTTTTCTATGGTTACGGGCTGGAATTTTTTAATGTTGACGAGTGCGCTCAGACTGTCATGTTTCCCCCCAATTATCCCAAGTGAGCACTTACTACTTTTAAGTTACAAAGACTGAACGTCTTGCAGTACAAATTTTATTAGAATTTGGGTTTTAATGTTCAAATAGTTTTACTGGTTAACTACATGGAGCATCACTTGCTTTTGGTTCTGAACTGCAACACCACAGGGCCAACAGAAAAGATTACTTTTAAACAGCATCCACTTTCGAGTATCAACAAAAGCATGTAACATAAGCTGTGGGATTTCAATCAATTGTAACCAGCCAGGTCTCAATTTCCCTCCATCTCTTGGTCATGAAACCCTCACTACCAAAAATTTCCTACTCAAATGTCCAAGTACACACTGTTCTCAGGTAGCCACACTGGCATTTACACGAGTAACAGCATGCAGCCTTGTTTAAGGGTGCAAACAGCCATTCTTGTAGTTTGCTTTTAAACCACTCTTACTGTAAACTTTACTGCAACCATGTGAAAGCAAAAGTCCTCCTCTTACTTACTGGAAGGTTTTCTTTTTTGATTAACGTTAATTATATCCTCTTCCCCCTTTCAATCATCAAGGACAGTAAGACCTTTAGAAGCTGTACTTGAACTGGTTAATTAACAATATTCACACAGTTGCGGTTTATAGAAGAATATACAGAAGAGTAAAGTGCAACTTACCTTTTGTCCCAAGAGAGGCACTCTGCTCCAGTGATTCATGTTATCAGTCCAGTACATGCTGGGAACTTTCAGAATAGCAGAGAGGCAGGCAGTGCCAAACAACTACTTCAGATGATTGAAAACAGAAGAGGTAACATTAAAAAGTTGAAATTCCTGATGTGTATTTGGCACTCTCTCTGCATACACTAAACAAGGTATTTTTCCTTAGCTTTTTACCATTTCATTAGAAATCTATTTTCTACCCTGCCAGTTTCAAAATAAAAAGCAGAGGGTTTTTCATAGAAAGATGATTCTAAGGAATAAACCAGTCAAATTGGATTAGCCTTGCATGTATCTGTAAATTTACCAATAAGGAATTAGTACAGGGATCTTCAAGTGTTATTTTCTTTTGGGGGGTAATTGTGCATCAATTATTTTTAATGCATTCAGATATATATAGTCATACTTAAATATTTGGAATACAAATATTAAATGTACAAGGAAATACACTTAATATTTCTGTTCAGTATAACAGGCCCACCCACGAAAACTGCCTTTGAAGTGAAGTATCATTCAAGAAAGCTTTACCTTCTCAAAAAGGATTGTAGCAAATCGGCTGTCCAAATAAGGTAACAAATAATGTATATCCACTTGTTTACAGCAAACAATTTAAAAACAATGATCTCCTGCTTAAGGAAAAATATCACCCATGACTTGGAATTATTTTTATGTCACTTATTTGTCAATTATTAACATCCAGTTACTAGATTGAAGCACTGCTCTAGCCAACAGGTTTTAACTGTAACAAATGCGTATCAGTTGTGATGTGTTTGTGTCTCTCAAATGTTATTACATATAAAGGATCAAAAGGTGGACAGTACATTACTCCGTTGATCCAAAACACAAAAGTGAAAGTGCTACTTCTAGTCCTAATTGCATTAAAAAAAAAGAAACAAACAAACCAAAAAAAACCCCAAACCCCAAACAAAACTAATAGCAGTTCCTCAGTGCATGAATATTTGAATATTTTCTCCTTGTGCAAGTACTGGTCATCTAAAAACCCAAACCTGTATTCTTCCTGGTGTGTGTAAATCAAATCTACTTTAAAAAGTTCACAATGGGCTCTTCATGAATGCAAGTTTCCCACAAAACAGCATGCTGTTAAAAGTGTGCAACATGAAGGGAATGCCATCATGCTAGCTGAAAGAGATTGGCAAAATAGAGTCCTCTGTAAGGTAAGGCAGGGATTTTAATACGTAACGAAAGTCAAAACAAGTCCTTCTGGAGCACAAACTGTTGCAGCTGTCTGTCCAAGCACCCTTCCATTTATGTTCTCAACATCCTGCAAAGTCCTCAAATTATGCCATATATATGAAGGTGTTGATATCCGACTCATCTCTTCTGATATACTTGTGCTCTATAAGCCACTCAATTTGCTCTTTTATCATTTTCTTTTGTGGCAAGAACATGTTTTTCAATATTTCTACCAGTTCAGTCTGAAGCTGGGCATTAGTAATTTTCTTCCGCATCTTCATTATTTGGATGATAGCCTCCTGGTAGGGGACAAGACAAAAAAAAAAAAAAAAAAATTAAATGCCTGGGTGAAGGGAGAAAGTGAAAACAGCATTAATACGGGGCTCCTAGTAAGGCAAGATAGCAACAAATTTGTATTTCCTCCTTAAAAATCAGATATATGCTGCATTTCTTAGACTAAGTAGATACTAAACGGAAAAAAATGAAGCACTGGCAAGATGCGAGAGATAAGACAAGTCCAGCCAAAGGAGAATCTGCAATTAAATACCTAGAGTGTTAATTACTCACTAAAACCTAATGTTCATTCACTCTCTGAGCAGAAGTCGTCCTTTTCCAGGGTGACTTGTGATATACCTTGTGAATACCTCATGAAATGCAAGCTTAATGTCAAACTGGAAATCACAAGGAGCTCTCCTTTCATAAATACAACCAGGCATTAATCTGTCTGCTGGAAGCGTGGCTACGATATTAAATCAGGTGGTACAATTAACAATGCACATGGCCTGGAATCTAATCTGACTGATAGAACAGACCTGCAGTTTTTTAAGGTAAGATAGGATTTTTTGAGACTCCATGGTAGGTAATGATCTCCGATGCCCGAAAAAAATTAGGTTGGTTGTTTGTTTTTGGTTTTTTTTTTTTGGAGCTGTCAGCTCAAAAGATCTGAGTATCTGACTGAAGGACAACCAACCATAATGCAGGAAGCTACAGTTTGTGCATCTAAGATGTACTTACAAACTTTCCCTCTAAAGAGAAGGCCTCTCAAAAACTCATACTGCTACTACTAAAGCATGATCACATCTCTAAGATTACTCTCTTCATACAGAGCAGTCAAAGAGATCTCAACAATACTGTCTATTGATGTTTGTGGCTCGTCAGTCAAGTTTACCATCTGCTGATGCCACCCACCACTACACTGTTATGCCTTCACCGCTTAATATCTGCTTTGTCCTCTTTAAAAATGATAACCTGATACATCAGAACAGGAGGCTGATAACTGCAAGTGCACAAAAAACATACAGGCAAAATCCATATTCACAAAGGATCTACACCAAATAGCCAAAGTCAGTTCCAGTGGGATTCAAAAGCATTCATTTCATACATCAACATCTACGTGCGGACAGCATGCCTCAGTAGTAATACAACAGGGTACAAGAGAAATAGGAAATTTTGTAATTCCTCTGGAAGTGTACTTGCCTGGGTTCGCAATATTCTTAGCTGGACTATTCCTTCATTTTCCTCTTCCCGCATTCTCTCTGTAGTAAGTTGTAATCGACCAATCAAATTTATCTTGCCCCTTTTCTGAACTTTAGCGTTTTTTCTGAAAAAGTTGTATTGTATGAAGATAAGCAAAAAAATACATTTTCAATTAAGGAATTCCTGTTAAACTTAAATTACAGCAGCAAGAAGTACCATCACATATCAGATATTTACAGGCTACTAGCATTGCAGCACTAAGATAGCTGGCTAACAAATCAAAACTAATTATCCCTACCTCCGCACAATAAAACCTGAATACACTGGCATTACAGAAAAATCCATCAGCTGGAACTGACAGCATCCAAAGTTTAAAACAGCACTAAGTTTTCAAGAATAAAATTTCAGAAAAATACATTTCAGTTTCGTTATATAAAACTAGAGATCTTTGGAGGAAGTTTTTACAACAAAGTTCAGGAAATTGGACTAGTTAATATTCCATCAAAAGACCTGTCTGTCTAGCAGAAATAAGGGACAAACACCAGCTACTGTAACAAAGAAAGCTGATGGCATTCTCCAGCGGTCACCCACACTTTCTGTACAGCCTGTCCCTTCTGTCAGGACCTCTCATAATTTCCTGCAGCTCACAGTCCTGATGACAGGATGAAACATCATGGCCCTGGGCAAGAACAAAAGCCCCAGGAAAGCAGATTCATCACCTCTCTCCCTCTCCACAGATCCAGATGTCCAGCTGCTACTAAGAACGAGGCCTAGAATCTGAGGTTGCTATAAAGGAGACAGTTCTAATCATAGTCATAGAGAGAGGCAAAACCCGAAGTAAAACATGCTGAATGTTACAGACCATTTAGATATTCTCTCTTTATACTACCTTATGTTCTGAAGGATTTCAAAGCACCAGTAAAAGAGCACTGCAATTCTCACTGAAATAAAGACACTCCTCTCCAGTGAGAGCCACACCAAAGTGTCCAGCTTTTGACAGCATACCACATTATTAAGCAGTATCACTTCCTTTTGTAACTTAGCACTTCAGTGTTGAAACTCTGTGTGTGTAATCAATACAGCACTAGTGCTCTGCTTACGTGGAAATCTTCCTATATGAAATTTTATGGGCTCATTAATAACAGGAAGATAGCAAAACATGCGATTTAGCATCTCATCCTATGGTGTTTATGAAATTTAATTTCTCAGAAAACAGCATCATAGAAACATTGGTCTGAAGGGGCTGCTGGAGGTCATCTAGTCCAACCACCAACTTGAAGCATGACTATCACCAAAACTAAGTCAGAATAAGGGCAGCAAAGCATGTGTCTAGCTGAATCTTGAAAACTTTCAAGGATGGAGGTTAACTTAAAGTGAATTCCTTTAATTATAGATTAGTACATTATTATTTTACTTTTCAAACATCATCTTACATTAAACTGAACTCCTGGTTCACCGAGAAGAGGGTTCCTTCTGTAAAGTCTTTGGGTGAATTGACTTGAGGTTCATACAATAAAACCTGACGTTTCAGCTTTGGAAATGCTACAAGAGACTACAGAGAAAAGGGGAGGGGAAAGAATGAAAATAAAACACCAGACTTTCTAAATGGAAACAATTACTTTTTAAGAACATAGCTCACTGCTGTGCAGACTGTAGTGAGGGAACCCTGCAGCTGCTTTTGAAGCTGCTGAAGGGCAACGCAAAGATACTAGTAAAACCAGAGAGGAGACACAGTTTACCAAATCTCCTTCTGAAATGGCTTAGCTTAAGTAAAATGCACAAACTCACAGCTACAGAAGTGGTGTTAAGTCTGATTTACATCATTTCTCTCTTTATTCTTGAGCTCAATAATTAAAAGTCTAATAGAGCAAACACTGAAGTTATTTTTAAGAAACATGTATTTATCAGGTGCCACTGATTTACTAGAACTAGACCTGTCCCACACCACAAATCACAATCATAACTGTGTGCTTTAGGCAGCATATGGTCAAAAAGATCTTGCCATTTCCAAAAACTTAAGTTCAATAACACTGGTAGAGAAAATGTGTTAATGTAACAGCTGCGTCTGCTCAGCAGTAGTGTAAGGAGCCAGCATTACAACTGGTTAATTAGCAAGAAAGGCGCTCACATTTCAAAGTGTTAACTGACAGTGCTTTAAAAATACTAATCCAGTATTTTAGAGTACAATTATCAAGAAGAAATCTGTTTCAAGAGAAAGGGAAATACCCATAAAGTCCTCCTAAGTTCTGCATCAGGGAGTTCAGTTGCCAGTTTAAGATTTTCAAAGCTGATCTTCTCTCTGGGTCTTTGGTTCCATGCAAACAGCACAGCTAGCTGAAATGTTGTTACCTCCAAGTCATACTGGCCAACCTCATTCTTAAATGTTATCTGTGAACAGGATGACAATTTTACTTGTAAGCCTTGCTGGATCACAAGCTTTCTTACTACTATAAATACACAGAAACTAAAGTCATTGAGGGTGATACACCAAAAACTATACACTTACAATTCCATTAGACATGAGGTGGTGCCAATGCAGTTTCCTACCGCTGTGATTCTTTTTATAAAATTCTTCAACTTCTGGGATGAGATCTTCCAATTCCGTGGGCAGCGAGACAAACACTTTTTCAGAACTTCGGGACCAGGCACCAGCATTTAAAATTTTAATATTCACAGAGTCAGCTGTAGAGACAATACTGAACTCTATGAATCTCCAGGTATAAAAGATAAACAAAATGCTTTTTTTTTACTGTAAACACAATTATAGGGACTGAATTTTCAGAAAGTAGCAGGGTGTCTACCTACTTAAACATTAAGGTACTCTATTTATGCACCACTGGCTTAAATCTGTGGGGTTTTTGGCTCTCCTCTGCAGAGCTCCTTAAGCCCTGATGCAACTTTATAGTTGATGCCTGTAAGCACTACTCAAGGATTTTCAGCAGTAGCAGGTCCAAACCTGAATGCTCCTCAGCCTCTCTCATCAGTGAAATTTAACCTCAGAAATGTGATTTAAGCTCTACATAGCACGCACCCCGTTCTCCTGCTGGCAGATGAAGGAGCACAGCATGAAGCACTCATGAAAAATAACGAAGGCATAAAAGAACATAGTAGTTCAGAATTCACCTGGTTGATACTGATTCAAGCCCCTGCTTGGAATTCATCTACCAGACCAGGGAGTCTGTATCTACAAGACTGCTCATAATGAAAACTCACAATAACTTGCAGAATTGTATAGCTCCAGTGCCAACTGTAAGAGAAAGCAGAGTCTACGGACACTTCCAGTCTAGGGGTAACAATGCTGTGAAGACTATGTTCAGCCTGCAGTTGATGTAATTTTTAACTCAAGATTCAACAGAATTATTTTTCACTAAGAGAAATTAAAAACGGCAAATAATTTTACAACAATACCTGGTAAAGCAAGTTTATTATTTTTGTGCATTTCTTTGAAGGCCTGGTTCAAGTCTTCAGATACTTTGATATCCTGGAACATTCTAGCCAGCTTGTTTACATAGTCTGCCGGCATTCCTACTTCCTGTATAAACAAACACAACACTAAACTATGACAGAGACAACTATGAACAAAAAGCTTTATTTTTAAAATAATCTTAAAAAAATGAAGAGCATTAAAGTACACAGTTATCATCACTTTACTGTAACAGTTAATATGCAATGCAAAATAAAGTTTTTTTACACGGATCATAAGTAGTTACTCCTTAAGGGCATAAGATGATTCTTTTAAAGAAATTCAAGCGCTGAAGAACATATGCATGTATTAAAGAATCAATAAATTCTGAGATTTGAAGGAATGTTTAAAGGAATGCAAATAATATTCTAATCTACATAAAATTTCACAATTAGAACACAGCTCAAATTATTTACATACCTAAACAACAAGTACACTGCATTTTTCTCATTTGTATATGGAATATATGAAGCCTTCAGGTAATTATATGCAAAACACTTTAAAAATCTATCACTATGACTATTAGGATCAACATTTCTCTTAGGAAAGAGCTAAACTGTTTTACTTACAAGTATTGCAATAAAATTTAAGATAGGATATCTAAGTTCAAGAGTGGGCATTAATATCACAAGCAAGAGGCACAACCAAACAAAGGAAGATGTCAGGCTACTTACTCTGAGCCATTCCACCATATTCTCTTCAATTTCACTATCAGCTGATATATCTAATATCAGGCGTCTTGTTAAGTGAGCTTTGTGGTATCGCATGAAAACATCTTTATTCTGTACATATTTAAGTACCAAAAGCTGTCAAAAAAGTAATTTTAATGTATTTATATGCATTGTCAATCAGACAAATCTGTGAATGCTGATCTAATGCCACTGTAGACTATGAAGAAAAACGCTACTTGACATTGCCTTAAGAGCAACTGTGATAATACTATCACAGGCACCAGCTATGAATCTTTCATAATATCACACCTCCAACTTCTTCATTTGTCCACCATCAAGACCCTTCTCTTAAATCAGAAAATACATTAACACCATTATGTAAGAGTCTCCTGTATTTTTTCCTAGACTAACATTAGTTAATGTGATACACTACAGTCTGATACAGGCATTAATTTAGCATACTAATTTTGTGAACTGACAGAGGCATAAAACATGGCATGATTTATAAGGCAAACACAAACATACTTGATGACATAATAAAAACTCTTTTCCCTATTATTACACATTGTATAACTGTTTTTGAAGATCAAGGCCTCCACCCACATAAGGAAATAAAACAAATTCAATCATCAGAATAATTGAGAAGTAGAAAGCAAAAACATACCACTTCTTTAAGCTTCGCTTCAATTTCTTCAGAGGTTAGTTTTTTGCTTAGTGGTGTTTTTCTTAGCAACATGTCACAGTAATTAGCAAGCAGCTCAGGGCATTTGGATTCAGGCTGTGTTTTCAATCCAACACTAAATAAAAGAACAACAATGTATCTTCAAACTGTATAGAATCCTGCTATTCTGGAGTAGCCACACTGTTAAGGAGACAAGAGCCCTCTTTCCTGGTGGTGAATTCATATCCTCATTAAACTAACCAAAAATTAGGGATAACTCCCTTTTCTTCTTGAAAAAATAAATAATACCAAACACTTTCAAAGAACTTCTACAGCTTGATGATTCCTACTGCTTTTAATTTTAAAACTCTAACAGTGAAGGATTACGTGAAACAACCAAATATGGCATTTCAGTAAGTATTCCAGTAATGAATTAACAAATGCCGCAGTGAAATGCTTCTCTGCTCGTCAGTATCTCTGAAGTCTCAAGAACAACCTCCTGCACTGCATTTCACAGACTGCAAAACCCAACACATCACATAGTAACAGGATAAAATTATTTTAGAGCAGGTATAAACTAACATTTTACAGATTAAAAACAGATTAAGGCTGAAGAAGATGATGCTACAACAGACAGACTGTGGTTCTTCAAAATGCACACAGGCACAAGGTCACTTTCTGAGCCTGTGTCTAGACTGGTGACTAGAACAGTGCCAAGGACCAACCCCTCTTTCTACAGTCAGATGGCACCAACTTGTTTGCAAGTCTCAAAGAATCAAAACAAAGACAGTAGGTAAGACAGCAGGTAAGAAGCTGTGGGGATGCTCAGGAATCCAGTGGTGTTCTCATTCCCTCACCCTCTCAACTAGTGCAGACAGCACTAAAACTCTCAGACAACTTGCTTGTCCTTTTTAATTCATAAAGAGCTTGCAGGCTAGTGTCTTCTGCCCTCCTAAAAACCATTTGGCATAAAAGCAGATCACTAGTCTTTTGGTTATTACAAGACAGAACCCTTATTTATTTAACCAATGCATTCCCAGGTATCTCTGAACAGGAGTCTTCAAGATACAGTGATGAAAAATTAACAAATTCCATATTCTTAGGCTGAACTTAATGGCACAAATTAAGCAGGATGAAGTTTCATTTTACTTAAACAAGACTGCATATGTAGACAGCTTGAAAGAGCTTGGAAAGAAGAATGCTGAACAGACAGACGACTGTTGCCATCATGGTCGTTTTTAAGAAACCACTAGGCAGGTTTAGCTTTAGGAGTGAAACACAGTTTGAATGAGGTACTGATATGGATGCTGGCCAGAGGAAATGAAAACATCAGCAGAGACCTAAACCACTCCTCTACCTTGCCTACATCTATACCAAGTATACAAAGCAGGGGCCCAATCTTTTGTAAAGGTCTTCCTCCGGTAACATAAAAGCAGCAAGACTATTTCCTGTCCAGATTTACCATCAGTCCAAAATCAAATGCAGAATAAGAACCAGAATGCTGAACAGGTATTTATATGCATTCACCCCTAATGCATCACCCCTAGAAGTAATTGGAAAGAGAAGCTGGAAGCCCACCTACATAAGCTTTGTTTCCATAGTAAATCAGACTACAAACTATATATAAGCAATCCCAACCACTTTACAGATTCCTACTCAAGTGGCCCTCCCATGTTAAATGCTAATAATCAATTAACTGACTGCTACCTTCTCTTGGCTGAGTTAGCAGTGTGGCTGCTACAAGCATGGTCTTTCTTCTTGAGTCACACAGGTCTGCTTAATCTACTGGAAACTGTTTAAACTAACCTCGTTAATCCTGCACCAAAACAGAAATGTAACACCCAGACAGGTTGCACTCACAGCTGACACAAGAGTAGGTGATAAACAGCTTGCAGATGGTTACATCTGAATCAGCCGCAGTTATTCCCATAAAGATGACTGCCTCAGTTTCCCTCAGGACTTTTACTGATGTTGCAGCAGAGTTGTACAGCTCAGGTGTTTGGAATTAATAACCCAGGAATCTATTATTAAATTCAGCTAACAAACTGACTCATTACTACAAAATAAGAGATTCCCCAATTACTACAAATACATTTTTTAAACAGGCTGCTATTCACTCATCCACTGCCATGTGAAGAGTGTTTTACCAGAAGCTGATAAGCATCTGAAATTCCATAATGCAAACACCACAAAGAAAGTACTCTTAAATAGTGTTACTTCTTCAAGAGTTATTTTAAAAGAGAAACACAATCTTTTAATAATTTAAAAGCCTTGATTCACATAAATTTTATATGGCTTACCCTTTTTGCTTCAATGGCAATTCAAGTTTAAATATTGTAGCATCATTCACAACTGCTTTGTATGCCTGAAAAATAATTAGATTATTAGTACTTCACTCAATTTCTCTCTAACATGAACCACACAGGTTTTATCTCTTTTTAGGTTTCTGTAACAGGAAATTGATCCTATTTTCTTTATTAGTCCAAAGTTTTTGGAATTAATCCTATGTTTTTAGCCCAAAGTTTTTGGATTTGATTTTCAGTATGAGCATTCAAATCCTATGACCCAATTTCCCAATAACTAATGTTTTGTGTTTTCCTCTTTTCCCATTAATATACTACTTTTCTTTAAAGGAAAACTTAGGAAGGGATTGCATGGACCAGATTGCGTATCTGAAGTCATGAGACTACACCCAAATATGTAGTAAATGCTAAACATATTGCTGAATCAGACATTAAGGCACTCAGTACAAAGATCATCACCTGATGTGCTCTACAACATCACAAAGGTGAACAGAAATGCAACTCTGTGCATGACTACAACACAAATGGAAAGCTAATCAGTCAGTAGAAAGTTTCACCAACATTTTAGTCTGCATATTGAAACAGCTTCTATGGTATCCTGGCTTGTGTCAGCAATAGCGTGGCCAGCAGGGACAGGGAAGGGATCTTACCCCTGTACTCGGCACTGGTGAGGCCGCCCCTCGATTCCTGTGTTCAGTTTTGGGCCCCTCACTACAAAAAGGACACTGAATGACTCGAGCGTGTCCAGAGAAGAGCAATGGAGCTGGTTCAGGGTCTGGAGCACAGGTTGTACGAGGAGCGGCTGAGGGAACTGGGGGTGTTTAGTCTTGAGAAGAGGAGGCTGAGGGGAGACCTCCTGGCCCTCTGCAACTCCCTGCCAGGAGGGGGCAGAGAGGGGGGATGAGTCTCTGGAGCCAAGGAGCCAGCGCCAGGCCCCGAGGGAATGGCCTCAAGTTGCACCAGGGAAGGTTTAGCCTAGATATTAGGAAGCATTTCTTTCCAGAAGGGGTTGTGAGGGGTTGGAATGGGATGCCCAGGGAGGTGGTGGAGTCCCCATCCCTGGAGGTGTTTAAGAGTCGGGTCGACATAGCGCTGAGGGATCTGGTGTAGTTGGGAACTGTCAGTGCTAGGTTAATGGTTGGACTGGATGATCTTCAAGGTCCTTTCCAATCTAGATGATTCTGTGATTTAACAGTGAATGGGTGGAAGAATTTCAGAGATATCATAATATGAATTACAACAATTTTTAAACTGGAAAGGAATGATCAGCAGAAACACATACCTTATCTCTTGCAGTAAGAAATCTTGGATCATCTTGAAAAGCTTCTTTAACCAATTTACTAAATCGATTAAATAATGTGAGCAATTGCTCTACGTATTTCTCAGAATCCTAAAGAGGCAAAAATCAAATAAAAACCCAAGGCTCCATAGAATTCCATGTGAGTTTACGTGTAATCGCCTAATCTGTAATAACACAGTATCCTCAAATCTACATACTATGAATGAACGTGTTATCTTTATTCTCTGTACCAAAAAGCTCTAGAGCATGTAAGCCTCAACCAGACTTTCAAGGGTAGTGTTTCCAATATACAAACATACGTAGAAAAAAATTTGTCATTTTCAAATATTGTACAACAACTTCTAAAATAAAAAATTTTTCAAGGACCAATAAAAGGTACATGCTAATTGCTGCAGATACTCAGGCCTCCTAGACCTAGAGAAAAAACTGAAAAAGAGCAGTGGGAAAAAAAATCTCTCAATTTCCACTTGTAGATTGAAAGCAATTTTCAAATTTCATCAGAAAGTTAGAATTAAAAAAAAAACCTGATTACACCTTTTTAATTAAGTTGCTAACACAATCCTACTGTATAAGTATTCCATGCACTTAACTTATATCCTTTACTGCAAACTGGATTCATGTCTTAAAGCTACAGCTAAAACATAAGGAATAAAAAATGATTCTAAAGACATTTAAAACTTCCAGCAGATGAAAATTTCATGTTTTAACAAAATCTTCAAAAAATTTCCATTTACATGTATGTCCTATAAATAGAGAATAGTTAACTTCCGCAAACTTGTTTTTGCATTGTTATTTTATTAAAAAACAATACACTTACAGTAGTAATTGTTTCAGCAGCTGCTACCATATCTGCAAGTCCAGCACTAACAATATGTTCTTCCAAGTCTTTTAGCATGGGCTCTATGCCATTCGGAACTTTATCCATCAATGAAAACATTAAATGCAACTCTGAAAGATACAAATACTGATAAAGCAACCAGTCAAAGACCCATATAAAACCCAGATATACCGCATTTCTGCTAGAGATATCTTGAGTGGAATACTGAATATGTGAAGAACTGATAAATCAATTCATCCCTTGTTTTGAATAATGTTCTAATTCTGGTCCCACAAGGAGATTCTGCTGAAAGCAAAGAGAAATACTTATCGCAATGTAATGCTTGCTTATGCAGATAATATCACAAGCTTGAATAAAACTGCCTAAAAGTCAATAGCAATTTGGATTAAGTTAAGGTTCTCAGTGTAACTGCCTTAAAATCCCTAGGTCTCTTTCAGTTGGAGGCCTACAGGAGTTCATGAAGGAAATTGTATGGATTCAACATAATTTTTAAAAAAAATTAAAGCCAAACAGAGCTGTGTCTATGTATCTTTCAATACCATCTAAAATGTTTTGGTTTAATTAAAAGCATGTCAAATTCTAAAGTAACCAAAACCAACTAAGATAAACAGCATTTTTTCCTTTCTGTTTTCGAAAAGTTTATTGAGTTTTTCTGAAAGTTACCAGTTCAAAAACTTTAAAAACTTACATGACTTATTTGTCTATTTTTTATGAAGGTATATCAGCACAGCTTAAAAAAAAAAAAGTACGGAAACAGCAATAATCATCTTGACAAAGCAAAGGAACACCTGGATTAAGGCCACCAGATTGTTTTAGAGAGACCACAGAGATCTGAACTAAACACAAAGGACTCTGCTTAATTAAGCAGAACATACTGATCATGGACTCTGATTCTTTTTTGATAGAAAATAAATTGATAGATTCACTTAGTTCCTCAGTGCTGTATCTACTGTGAAAAGGGACAAAAGCCAGAGGCCCTGTCTTTGTTTTCTCCTCTGCAATACTTTTGTCGGGGACATCAAGATCCTGCCACCACTGAGGATGAAATATATGTTATCAAATTCTGTATCCCAACAACTGCTGCAGAATGAAATAGAAAAGCAATGTAGAGAGATGAAAAAAATCCTTTTAGAACATAACAACACAAATCAAAGAATAAAAACTACAAACTACCTTCAGTAAAAACTTGCAATGCTACTAGAGACAACTCACAACTGACAGAATTTCAAAAACCAGAAAAAATGGAGTCAGAGGTATTCTCAGTGCAGTTTAGATGTGCTGTAAATGACAGCAGCACTGTTTTACATAGGCTAAGTCCAAAAAGCTCACTCAACTTCTACTGGAACTTTTAAACTGTACTTTAAAAAAGGGTGAGAGGGAGGAAGTGATGGCAGGAAAAAAAAAAAAAAATCAAACAAAAAGCTATATTAAAGGTTTCCTACATGTTTCTGTAAACTAGTGATGGCATGAATAACGCAAGAAAAAAATTCAATGGTTTCTCCTAAAAAAAACAGTGGCAAATGAAAACTTCAGGTGCATCCCTAAAACTGCAGGTGCATCCCTAAAAAACCCAGATTCTTCAAAGACAGATTTTGAATTAACAAAACCAAAAGGAACATCCCACTGGAATTTCTCTCAGAATACGTGATGACACTGAAATGTAAAGAAATCCATACTGTAGTTGTCGGGGCACTTAAACAAGTTCTCTTTTCATTTTGTATTCATAAAAGCCAAGTGTGCTTTTTATTTGTGTTATTAAGTACTGCAAGAATAAAATTTAGGCCTCCCATCTCCAATTCTATAAGCAAACAAAAATGCACTAAACCAATTCTGAGGAGTGTATGCAAGTTATGACATCTTTGATAGTTCTTCGCTGGAAAACATTACACCTTACTTCCTTTGCACAGCATGTAAATATTTTCTTAATGTAACAAAGTATTTTACAGTAGTGCCCACCTACTAGCCAAAAAACCCAGTCCTTTCTTGTCAGATGCTGTTTAATAAATAAATCATTAAATTATATGGGGCAAATAATATCAGAAAGACACATGTGTAAGCAAAGTACAGCAGATGATACTATCAGATATATATAGACAGATATATATAGATATATATATATCACTACATATAGCTCCAGTCTTTAAATAAATTTTCAGTCAACTGCACCTGCATTCTTCATCAAAACATTTTAAACAGCATAGATACATTTAGGAAAAGAGTATTTGAAAGATGCTTCAATTCTCATATACTAAAGAAGTATTTTGCAACCAAGCAGTATCATGGGGCAGAATAGCAACAAAGGAAGAGAGGACTGTGAATATTTCAAGTTTCTAAAGAAAGATACTCTGGATGCTACAGATGAACCCTTCTGAAGCTGTGCATTTAAATAAGCCTCCTGTATTCACCCAAAGGCTGTAACATATACTCATAAGAAGTTTGGTGGCTTTCTAGATTTAGCACTGGATTACTGCCAGAAATCATGCTGGTAGATGAACAGATCAGTACAACATAGTTTTGAGGTCAAATATTTTCTGAAATGCTAGCTTTACAAGTATTCGCTAAACTGTCTGAAGTCATGAAACAGTTTTCACACCTGCAAAGAAACAAAAACTTCAGAGACATTAGTAAATATTCCCTGGCTGCAGGATATCAAGACTTCAAACCAAAAAATTTAACCTGCAATTTCAGCTTTTATTTTTGTCCAATTTCCCTACTTGAATTATGACATTTTAATGACTTATCTAATTTGGTTTATCATACAGGACCAACACAAGACTTCTGAATCACACTAACCTCTCAATTTCTGGCAGAACTTTTGAAAACTTTATGAAAGTCATGCAGAGCTAACTTTCAGAACTCAGTGACATACTGGCTATAAAACCAGAGGAAAAACTTGAAGAGATTTTATTCATTGACCTATTGGTCCTACATCAACAATCAGAATAAGAAAAATTTCTCCCTGCTTTTCAGAAAAACAGCTTTGTAAAGAGATGCTTCACCTTTTTTCCAGGCAGAAGGTGGTACTGATAGTGGAATGAAGGGGTAGTGTTTGTATATGAACTAAACAAATAGAAAATAAGAAACATGCAACATTTACCAGAGTTGGTCAGCACGATGAAAATAAGTTGTAGGAAAAATAAAGAAAACAGAACACAAAATATTCTTTTCTTTCTGGTAAGATGAGAGCTATCCAGTCATTCATATTATGATATTGTATATACATATTTCAGAAGCAATATAAAAAAATACTAACCAAGGATGGTCATTTTTTTGTGGGATAAAATTGCCCACGTGCAGTAATATTTTGTCTACGCAACAGTGACCCCATCTATTAAAAACAGTAATTTGATATGTCTGCAAACAAATCTATTTTTAGGCAGTTGATGCTGAGTTCATCCTGCACTGTTCTTGAAGCTTCACTTACTTTCTGTTTCATTTCGTTTGATCATGCCTTGGCATTCAGCTAAAATAGTCTCTTTAAAAGATGTCACCAGGGCATTGACGCAGCACTCCATTAGCTGAAATATATTAAACACAGAATTAGCTCATGTAGCCATCTGAACACCAAAGTCTGATCTGTCTCAAGTCTGCCATGACAAAATCTAGCCTGCTAACAATTATGCTCTATGAAATAATCAGTTTACTCACTGATTCATAAAATTATGTGTAGTTTGAATAAAATCTATACAGGAACAGTATTTCTTCAACACATGTAGGTTACTAAATATAGTAAACTCTTCCAAACTAGCAATGAATCTAATATTTGTCACCTCTTTTCTCTCAAGGGAGCCATCACTTTTGGAATACCAACTACCCTACTTATTTTCCAAGTATGCATCCAAGAGCTAAGAATAGTTCTCATTCCAGCATACCCCATTTGGACCAGGCTGGTGGGCTTGAACAAGACATTATGGCTAGATCTAGAACAGAAACTGCTTGTACATGTCAGGACCACCTCTCTTCTGTCAGCCTCTTTTATACGAGTTACAACTTATAGCTGTGCAAAATTAATGATTTACAGCTTAACAGAAGACATACAACTCATTATGATCCACTAAAAAAAAAGTCAGATTTACAGGGTATTTATTTAAAAATAACCTGTTTCCCAAACTAAGTTCAACACAGACAATTATGAACTATTTATTGCAGTTAAATCTTCCTTCAGGATCTGAACTGTGTAAAAGATTGCTCAAGGGGGAAAAGAGGAGTAAAAAAAAGAAAAAAGATCCTTTATAATTAAATGGCCATATTTCAGCCTAAGAGGATCTAGAACATTTTTTAAATGAGCACTGAGAAACCCTTTACTAACAGATTGGCCAAACATACCTGACTCTAAATGATAGAATAAAAATCAACCTGCATAAGAACTTGCCCCTCAATCCGAACTTATGATTTACATTTACTATTAAAACATCTGTAGAATTTGAAAATTGCCAGATTTGTAAGTAATAGAGATTTTTTTCAAGAAATAAATGTCATGGATGATTAACAAACATAGAATCAACAGTTTCATATCAATATACTGCTACCAAATAATACTGTAACATACAAATAAAAACTGCAATGTAATAATATTATACAAATATAAAGTACATCCGTTTTTCTATACATTATACTTACTGCTTCTACAGAGTTACATTCACGTCTTGTTTCTAAATATCGTAGTGCTCTTTTCTCTTCTTCTTTTAGTTTAGCATCTGCCTGTGCAAAAGTAGAACAGCAATCATTTTAAGTACTAACACTTTAAAAACAAAGTTACAACAGAATTTTTACTTACATATTTCATATAGTTCTGTACACCATTTTGTTGTAAATAAGAAGGAGCTTGTGTTCTATAAAATCTCTCTGTTGAATCCAAATATGCCTTTTCAAAGTTATCCCGATATATCTGAAGTTTATCTTCAGGATTAGAACAAAGATTAACTGCAAAGAGAAAGTCCAAACTTACTCTCAAGTCTTGGAAACTTAGGTGGCTAATAATAAGCAAATCTCTCTCATTAAAGCGAGTCTTGTATTAAAAGGTTGCATTGAACAATTTGAAGTATCCTATAAATGCACTCTGATCCCTAAATGTAACCAAAATTGTCCAGTCTTTGCTCCAAAAACATTTAGATTAACTATAGGGAACTGGAAAGAACTGCATACTTATCTCCAACATTTGACACATTCAAACACAGTAATCAGAAATACACATAAACCTGAGAAATTGCAAAGAAGAAAAAGCAGCTCAGCATAATGCCCAGTAAAGTGAAAACTACTCCACCTGAGCAGTTTTTCTTACACACTGTTCTTAGAATCCCAATGTATTCATTTTACACTTTTTTCTTCTGCATTGGGTTTTCTGTTCTACAAAAATGGAGACAGTGAGCTTAGTTCAAAGCACTGCAGTATTTAGAATAAAGTTTCCAAATTCCTCTCAACTGTTAACAGAGAAATTAAAAAAATGAAGTCCTTAAACGGAATATACTTTAAATAAAAATTAGAATTGGACATATATAAAGCTATTGAAGAGAGTATTATACACAAGTTTAATTCAACAGGCTGCAAAGCTTTAAAGCAGCAGGCAATGGTGAAATGTCATAGAAGTTTCAGATACACAGATCTGTTTTGCAAAGACGACGGAGACTCTTAGATACAGCTTGTTTATCATTTCTTCTTCAAACTGCCTGAAGAATCAGAAACAGTACAAAAAGGAGCACAAAGATATATCTGCAACCCTAAAAGGTCAAAAAGTAGTTTGGTCTTTGAAAACATTGATTTTGCAGTAACTGATACATAGCCAAATCACTTAGAAGTTAAAGATTTTAAGCAGAATTTAATTGGTATTCCATATTAACAACAAAAAAAATCAATACAAAATGCTGAGATAATCATTCCAGCCCTATCGCCACAACTGTCAACTCTGTATGATGAAAATTCATTTACTAAAATGAGGAGGCAACAGAGATCAGTCTGTGTGAGACATACCATATGATTCTCGAACTCCAATAACAAGCTGAGAGTCAAAAGCTTCTCCTAGTCTTTCAGCATGAACTAGCTTCATTGCACTGTCCTGAAGTCTATTTTTTATATTTGAAAATATGGATTCATTCCACGTATCTAGCATGAGCTGTGTATCAGGAAGAAAAAAAAAAAATCCTGTCAGAAAGGTACACACAGACCTAAGTTTGTGCAAAAGAAACAAGACACCAGAAAGATAAATCAAGCAATTTATAATATATTTTTCAGGTTACATACAGTTCAACTACCTTAGAACTTGATCTTGCTCTGAACTTGTTACAGAATTAACATTGAGCTTACATTCTAATCTTACTTTATTTAACTGGTCAGCTAGGGGTATCAGTCTTTGATTCATGTATTAATTCCATAATTCTGTATTATTTCTACAGTTCTCAGTAATCAGTCAAGTAACTTCTCCAGCAATGCAATGTGTCAGGAGTTGCAGTATCAGGGGGCACCTTTGAGCCAAACATCCAAATATAATTGGCTATTTAGCAGGTTCAGCCTTAACCAAAACCAAAACCTCAGTTAACATCACAGTTATGTAAAGAAAGACACTGATGGTTCTGGATTGCATCTAACATAAGAGTTCGATATGCAAGTAATGCATGTGCAATTTTGAACAACTCCAAACCTCATCTGAGCACTGCAAAGTTTTAAAATTAGTTATGGAGGCCTCTAACAAAATCCTCATCGCTCAAAGGGTCCCTTCCTAATCCATTGTGTGATTTTATTTTTTTTTTTAAATTGTTTTTTGGTCTTTGGTACTGACAATGCTGCGAATGTATTGAATTACATCTGATCACCAGACCCAACATGCTGCAGCTGAGCAACACGAAAAGCTCACTAGGCAGGCCATACTTATGTCCAACTAAGCTCCCCCAGTTGTTCAGGAGTAAATACTCAAAGCATGCTACATGTTTGTTAAAAATCCTCATTTGCTTTAGAATTCAAGTTACTGTGGTATTTCTTTTTTCCTTAAGACACTGGATCTGGCTCTTTCTATATGCCATTGAATACCTTCCGAAATTATGCCACAGCTTAAAAACTAATTTTTTTTTTCTATCCAACTCATGCCATTTCATTGCTTTAGAAGGAAGTTCAAATTTACAGTATCTTCAAACTTGACAGTAACTGCTATGAATGTAAACATGCCAATTGTCAGTGAAAAGCAGGTTGGAATCATAAAATTTACCAGTTCAAACTTTAACTCATGACTGTGAATAAGCTTACTAAAGACAAGTTTAGGGTGAGTTGACACAGTTGTATGACAAAGTTAATAGTAAAGATTAGACTGTCTTATTCCATTCTTGCTTTGTGCGTTTTAGATTTTAACACAGCAAGCACCAAATACAAGTCAGATATCCTTTCAAGAGAATTAAATTTACTATCCTTTATTCTTAGCTTCTCCATAAGGGAGAGTCCATGGGATTTTCTTTGTGTGTTTGATACGAAATAGTACAAAGATCATATTCACAAGATTCTAGATGTCCAAGCTTTTCACTGACAAGACCACCAGTTTGGGGGAAAAAGGCAAAAATAGGAGATTAATAGCCATATTTAACTTGAGATGACAGTATTTAACTGGTCATTGATAAAATGCAGCGATGTGCCCCAGTTAAGATCTTGGCCTAGGGAGATAAACTAAGAGTAAGAAAACTACTCACTTGTGAGTAGCAAGTGTACTTGTATATACAAGTATAGAAACAGCAGATGAATTTACAACTGTCTCCGACCTCAGGATTCAAGCCATAATTAAAAAAAAAAAACAAACCAACCAACACCAAACAAACCCGAAGCCCAACGAAAAAAGTACTTTAATCACCTGAACAAAACTGTTAATAGCCAAAGCAAAACTGAATAGAGTAAAATTATTGTGGAGAGAAAAAAAAGTTGCAGGGTTGTTCTGACCCTCACACTGAAGTGATGCATCATATTATACAATTGGTGCAATTTCAACTTCAGTTACAGAATCCCTTCTGTGCTATTACTGTAGGCAGAAGGGTGCAACAAAACTCTTAATACCTATCACTTACCTTTCGAACAATACTATCTTCTACATTAGACTTCTTGTTGCTGCCCTGCTTGCCCATTAAAGTAATCTCTAACTGACAAAATGGCTTGGGCAAAATATCACACTGTGTGAAAAACTTTCGCCACTCCACTATATATGCTTTTAGTAAAGCTGTATCATCTTGATGACTCAGCACTCTCTGGAGGAGGAGGGGAGAAGAGGACATAATTTATAAACAATTTTCTGCACAAAATACAGACTGACTTTACTTACACTGAAAATAACTCCCCATATAATATTAAAATATACAGATATATCACAGTAAGAAAGTCTACATATTTAAGTGCCATTTAGTTAAGTACTTATCAACCCCTAGCATATGGAGTATTTCTAAAGGGTAAAGAAAGGTTAACAGCAAACAAGCAGCCAGTACATTTAAGTTTTCCAAATGAACCTTTTTTCTTTTTTTTCTTTTAAGCTATCTGCAAGCCAAAAAGATCAAAACCTTTGGTCCAGACACATGTACTGGTAAAACCCTATCTAAAAATAAATCAATCTGTAAGGACTGTGTTATATTCTATACAGTAAAAAGTTTAATTCAATGGCATCTACTAACCTTTCACTAGACCCAGACAGCTAGTTAACATGTATATTTTATTAATGCCTGGAAACTACAACTACCATAGTGCCTAAAAAGATGCCCTTTAAACACCAGCCAATGCAGACCATATCGAAGGCCTCAGTTTAGCAAAGCACTTATGCATGTAAGGAAGCTAGCTGGTGGAACTTAAAACCCAACATTTATATGTCTGGTTATATAAAGACCTATATAAAAAACTATTTTCCTTTAGGCAAAGCCTTAGTGGTGTAAATCTCTTCACTAAAGAAACGTTTTATTGACTTTCATTTTTTCCTTTCCAGACTACTGTTAGGGGATTTTTTTTTTTTTTTAAATCCCACAACCACCCCATCTTTTAAATCCCTTATTACATAAAACACCTTTTGCTGTGCATTTTACAAATACAAAAATTTCCTTTGAATCTATTGATGATTTCAGTTGTTTGGGGGGAAGGCCACAAAACTGTACAGCTAAGCTTGCTGAGTCGATAGGATGGATATTTCTAGTATGCCATACATATGGCTTATTTTAAAGCCATTCATGAATGCATTAGCATAGTGCTGAAGCTAGAGAAACATTTTTTTTCCCCAGACATTTTTTCTTATAGAAAATTTTGCCTCAATAAGTTTTCAAGTGGAAGAAGATTCCATAAGTACTGTTGGATAAACAAAAATAATGCTCTGTTTTGGTTTTTTTTTTTAATATAACACAAAAATCACTGCCCACCCCAGTTTCAGGACTGTGAGAAAACAATGAGCAAATGCTCAAGGCTTCCTTCTGTCAACAGAACTTCACATGGCAATTATGATCTCCAGAACATCACAGAATTTGACACAAAAAAAACGGCAATGCATTCAGATCTAATGAAAGTCAGAAATACTTGGTTATTCTTCTAACAGTAAAAATAGAAGTTATAAAACATTAAGAACTTACTGCTTGTGCCTGTTTAATAAAATCAAGGATGTCTTCCTTCAGAGCCTGATGGATTTTTGCTGGACCTTTATCATCCCACAAACAAACTGCATGTACATCTCTAGAAAACAATTTATCCAGCTTTTAGTAACAGCTACTCAAAAGTATAATGGTGTAATGTATGAGGCTTAAATGGTCATAATTTAAGTACATCTAAGAAATTAATACACTTATCTATCACTGTCAAATAATACATGGTTAGATCCCAGGGACAGATGCAAGAAAACATGTTTGGAGAAGAGACTGAAGCTGTAAGAAAGTCTTAGAAGCAAGTAACAGCAACCTATCTAGGAAAAGGCTACGGTCAAGAAGGAGATGTAGAAGGCAATTCTGCTTTCCGTATCTATTCAATAATCCTTATGGCATTAAGGACAATTTTTGAAGCTTTTCTTTGGTACAGACATACATCACTTGCCAACAGAAGCATTACTATGCAGCCCATATTCTAAAATATTCTTACTAACATGCAGCCTTCACTCAGAGTTTCACAAATCCAAGCATGACAACATCCTTGTGCTACAAAGGAAAGAGACCTTAGTTGTGGGAATCTGAGCTCAGGGGCATCAGGTAATTTAAAATACATTTTAATTAGTTTAGTAAGATCACTTAAACGTTTCATGACAGTGGTAGCGTACCGCATCACAAAGCAAAATTCTACTAATGAATTTTGATCAACATTAAAATAAATTCCCATTTTTCCTGACAGCCCAGCAAGTGTAACTTAATTCCTATTTTCTTTCCATACTATAGACTAAATAACGCCAAGTTACACACCCACTATACATCATATATAACATGGCCTAGCAAGTCTTTTTCTGACTCATTACCTTCCTCTGGTTCTCCTTCCTCTTTCCAATAAGGCCACATCTTTGCAGGAAATCAACTATATAATCTAAAGGTATGACTTTGTTCCTATTAAACCAATGCAGTTATTTCAATACAAATGCATCTTTTTTTAGTTTAACTGAAAAGCCAAAACTTTCAAAGTATAAGTTCCTCTGACACAGATCAAAGATGCTGGCCCAGGATTTACAGAGGTCTGCCTAACTTGTGAAGCTTATGGCAACTTTCACATGCAGAAAAGGTGTTACTGTATTGAAAAGGCAACTGTTTCCTGACAGCAGTGAAAAAAGCAATACTGGATAATTACACTCAAAGGGCAGGTAGAGCAAAAATATGAACCTAGAAGAGCAGGATCCTTTCCTTCAACATCCTTAATTTAGCCATAAAGTTACTTAAGTTTTAGTCAATAATTCGGCTACAATAATAAATAGAAAATTTCAATAGCAATGCAGATTTACTGAAGTAGTTATTAAAAATGAAAGCAGTGACTCAGAACTCAATTTGTGTCTTAATTATACCATGCTTCTGGCAACTACTATAACCATGACATCATAAGATATTAAAACTCATTACACGATAAACTACCTTTCCTTTTGGTTGGCAGAAAAGAGTGACAGGTGCAGTGAGATGGGTGTAAAAAGAATCACTGCACCATTCTCATAAAAAAGAGCAATAAAGATACAGACTGTAACGACTGCTTTTGAATAAAAAACACTTTTGTGACAGTTTTTAAAAAGCAGAAGGAGAGACTGCAGAATTAAGCTACAACTATATTTGAGGGAAAATAACTACGTTGAGACAAAGATTATTTTAGATATGCTTTGTTTTAACTCACTTCCATATTATGTTGGCAAAGGTCACACGATGTATTTTAAGAAAAAAATCATCACCTAACAGGAACCAACTTCTGGCTTTTTGGAAGAAAGAAAAATGGCAGGGTTTTTAGAAAGTACAATAATGTAAATGCTGTCTGAAAAATATTATATATATATTATTCTTAATAAAATATTCAAATTATACCAGTTAAACTGCAATATCCCGTTATTTCAGTAGCATTCTTAAGTTATTTTAGAAGGCATTCAAACCACAATAATGTAACACTCGGCAAACTGCCTCTAAACGAACTCACTGCAAAGCAGTCAACTACATTTTCTCTCTAATTCTAGTGAAAGTTTTGTGTCCAGGTGCAAAACTTATTTACTATGATCAGCTGAAGTCAAAAGCTATGCTGTTCTTGCTCCATCCTATTCGCAAAGATCTGAATCTCAGCAAAACTCTACTTTTACATTTATAGTGATGAAGGCACCTACCACTTAAAACTTAAAACTGGTATTGTTGTTCTGTGTGTTCCCACATAGTCCATGTCGTATGTGACTTCTGTATCAGAAATAGCACCGTAACTGTACTCCCCTTATGGAAAAGGATGTAAGATACTAAAAAATTACTTACGAAAACAGATCAAACCATTGCTGTTTTGTGACAGACTCCTGACGAAGAAGTTTCAGAACGATAGGGCGCATGAAATCCCATTTGTCTTCAAACTGAAGTGAACCTTTATTCTAAAAGGAACAAAAAAATTATTGTTAATAAATCCATTTCTTAAAGTTCTCTTTAATGACTGCAGTTTCTATGGTTAATGTAAAAATCATAGTAAAAATACTTTCTTCTCAGAGGTGTCTCTTATAAGCTAGCATTTGAGCTACAACACCCCAGTAAGCATTATTTTAAAAAGTGTCAGATCTATTAGTTGTTTCTTAGAGAAGCAGATTGCCAACTTCTTCCTTTATTCACTGCATCATTTACAACACAAGTTCTAACAAGTGTTCTTCACCTGTTAATGGAGTTATACATGGACAACATGAACGGTACTTGGTCCACTTCGTTGCCCCAACTCAGATATATGCAATAAAAGTCACGAGGCAGAGTTGCAAACCCATGTTGAATAAATTACCGCTACCAAAATGGCAGATAGGAACCAGGAGTAGTACCTGTGTGATGCTGCCATGTACCTTTTTTTTCTCCACTGTGCACTTGGCATCAGCAGCAAAGAGGGAGGAAGGAAGTAGAGTAATGTAGGAGCTGTTGTATCACAGACTCCCTTCCTGTGGGTTAACTGGCCATAGGCAGTTTGACAGCCAAGACTAAAGTTGGTGCTGATAAAAATGATTTACACTGTGCTGAAAAAAAACTAATCCAATGTGATTTTTTTTTCAAACTTGCGATACAAATTAAGAGGAAAGCTAAAGAAACAAAGTGCTCCCGTATCACTCTGATTAGTCTGAAAAAAATCTCACTGTAGTATACAGGCTGACTTCCATTACTAAAAAAACCAAAACTTTAAGAGAAAAACAACAGTTCTATTGGATATGTTGCATTCCCATTTGGTTATGGTTCCATATTTTAAAAGTAAAAACCTGCAATTAAAATTAACGCTGATTGAGAGTTCTGTGGCAAAAAGACTACTGGGTTATCAGCAGTGTTATGTCCCAATGCACTGCTCGCTTTTGAACAGATCATTGCCTTGTCTATTAACACTACATTTGACACAATTCACTTCAAATACAGCAAATAATACAATCTAACTACTTGAAATACTGACAAGTGCACTGTTCTGCCACTAAAATCTCCCCAGATAAACAAGCACAAGCAGCACACCACATTCTCTCAATCGTCTCCTTCTGATTAATTTCTACATGGAAATTTACAATTAAATCTGTTATTTAGTATTCAGAATAAGCACAGTTTGGAAATGATATCCCCTGCTCCTCTTAAGTAAGTGCAAAGACATCTCATCTTCAAGTTATAAAGATGCAACAGGCATTACATTAACTATTTTTACAGCAACAGCACTTGGAGGCCTCACAGCTTTTCAGACCACTGCAGTAGGTACTGAATATGGGTCTCATGGAAGCCTCTCCTGTCCAATGGAGTTTAGAATTTTTTCAGCATTAAAAAAAAAAAAAAAAGGAAGAGAAATTGTTTTCCAATTCAGAAAGACAGTTCTCTTTCACTGTAAAGAAAAAAAAAAATTAATGCATCATCTCTGAAAAATCATCAACTGTTTCCCCTACATAGAGCTAGCTTTACAACTATTCCCTAATCTTTGATGAGATGCTTTAATCTTTCCTAAACCTGTGAAAACAATTAGTTTCTACTTCCAGATATTTTTGTTCCCAGTCCCTCTTTTCAGGATAATGAACTTGAAAGACCAGCTGCTGAAAATTAGAAGTTCCAGAAAAGGCATTATAAAATTATAAACCCAACTCCCTCAACATTTTCCTTTGGAGTGAAACTTCAGAGCAGAGCTCCTAAGTTTTCTGGAAGAGGTAAAAAGCCTGTTCTGCAATTCTGCAGACATGCAGTTCAGCCCTTTGATGAAAAACAGCTGAAGATAAAAACTAAATACTCTTGTTGCGAATAAAACTAATTTAACTGTAAAACATACCAGGAGGGGAATTGCAAACCCTAGTATTTGTATGATTTAGATTGAGATTGCCTAGTTCATGCTAAGAAGCACACAAAAAACTCCATTTCAGCTGTAAAAACTGCACATCCATTGGTAACAAACATGCACCTACTTAAAAAGAATATGCCAAAGAAAGCTTAGCAGAAAATGGTATTACGGAAGTTTAGAACTTTGCTATACATAGGAGTGAAATGGCTGTGGTTTTTTCTAACACCTCCTCCTTTATTCCTAAATTAAGTAGAAGAAGAAATAAAATTAATAGATTAAAAATCCCGCTCAACTAAACTATTCTTTAATTTCAATAAACAATTCAACATCTTATAGGTAGATTCAGACTTCTATGACAATTAATCTTATGCTCTTGTACTGAAATTATGAGAAAGGGTGCATAATACCACCACTGTGCATCATTCACATTCATTAATTCTACCCATATTAGTGCATGAGAAAAACAAATTTTATAGAAGGAGATCAAACAGTGGCAACTCTTAGTTGTTACCAAAGTCACACATATACCAGTGACTCAGACAACATGAGGAACCCATTTCCCACTTAGTTGAGCCACCCACAAACCTATGCAATTTCTGAGCAACATTTTTCCTGGGTAACTTTTCTTAGCTTGTTGCCTCAAACCACCATTCCCAAGTGAAGGTAAGCAGGAAGGTAAGTCATGTCTGACAAAATAAAGTTTCTCCACTTATCAAATCTTCTCTGAAAACATGGATTACAATTGATACCCACACCCTGGCTAAGTAACTATTCCAGCTGTTTAAAATTCAAGGCTTTGAAAAATAACTCCACTTACAAAATATTTCATGTTTCAAAAGTCACTTCACTAAAATTGCTCACAGAGATTTACAGTTCCATTTTAACACTAAACTTCACTTGAAATACAAACTACTTCACACACTATATTAAAATATATACAATTTTACTCTTCAAACTTACTTTTTCCTGTTCTTCACTTCTATGCATAAGCACCTAAACACAGTATTTCAGGAAGCAGGTAAAAAACCTCCCAGACTATGTTGGTAGATATTATGTAGAATTAGTACAATGATGCAAGTGGAATTGTTCCACTAACCAGTTTTTCTGATCTGGGTGTAACACAAAATTCCTTTCCTTAACTGTAAGTTTAAGAGGAGTGCAGCAGAAGTGGGAACAGAGTATATGAGCCTAAATAAACATGGAATATAAAAAGGCAAGGCAATATAACAAGACCTCTATGCTACTGTCCCTGAGAGCATCGACATGTCTGTTTGGACATTCAGCTTTCCTTACTGTGTACTCTATATGTATCAGGCCACATACAAATTCAGCCCTTATCTCTGCCAGCTTCTCTAACCAGTACTGTAAAAAAGCAGGATCCTCTACATCTTACTGTACTTCTCATTTACGTATGAGTAACATCCTCACCTTTACTACTTCACCATTTTCATATATAAATTAAGGCTAGTTCAGAGAGGCGTAGAGTAGGAAATACAAGGTCCTAGACTGAAATAAGCACTGTGTTTTATGGTGAAACTAATCTTAATCACAAAGAGCATTCGTTCTTTTTATCTATAGCTGTTTTCAGAAAAGGACTGCATTTCTCCAGAATGGCAGAACAAGCTTTTTACCTTTTCCAGAAAATTTACGAGCTCTGAAGTTTCACTCCAAAGGAAAACTTTCAGGAACTCAGGTTTACTTATTTTTGAAATTTTTAAAATTCATGTCTCTGATTAATCTCTGCTACCAGCAGCTCTAAAAATCATTGTAATGACTGTAGGGAAGTTACTACACAAAACAGAAAAGTATCCACAGGGAAAGCTTTGCTATGTTACTAACTAGGGTTCGACATTTCAGATATTCTTAAGGATATCCTAAGAAATAGCCAGGAAGAAACAGACAAACTTATAGATCTGGAAATATGCACTTTAAGTTGAAGAATTCAAAAACTTCAGATATGTTTCCGGTTGTCAGTGACAGAGGCATGAGATTACAAAAAAAAGTTGAAAGCAGTGCAAAGGTAAAAAATGTTACTCATTTCACTTAAGTCTATGGAAAATCTGCTGCTTTCTTTGCTTCTTCCCTCCTAGCACCAGGCTCAAGCTGCAGTTCATCCTGCAAGGACAGACTCTTGCATTTGCTGATGGCTCCATTAAAGCTTTACAGAAGCATCAAGATCTGCTTGCATGAATACAACTCCAGGTTTCCTTTGTGCTGCAGTAAAATGAGGTGCTTTCTGTTCCAGAAACTGCAGAAACCCTCATATATCTTCACATCACATGAGTGAATTGGTTTAGACTATCTTGTCACTGCAAAGGGAGCGGGTTGCAAGTCCAACACAGCCCCTGAAATAAAGCACCCCACGTTAAAAGTGCCAGAGTCACATGTACGGGGAGAGAAAAAACTCTAGGGAACTCACATAGTAATGGTTCAGTCACCTACAGGAAAGCCACGGTCTCTGTGGGAGAGCAGCTCTCCTACAGGTAGGGTATGTGCTAGCTTACCACATAATGGCTAGCTCCTATGAAGTACTTCAGTATTTTCATCACACTACAATTTTTTGTCTCTCACCAGGATTCAACATATGATTGGTCATTCTGATTTTGCATTTAAAGAAGGCTCTCTGACATTATGCTTCTCACTAAAAAAATAATTTACAATTAGGAAAGTTACGCACTACTGGAGTTTAAAAGATGCCTTTTGAAATTATGACAGCCAGTCAGATTTGGATTCAGCTAGTATCCATTCCTAGAACAAGAAAAGAATATTTCACTTCATTTTCTCAACTATGTAGAAAGCCAAACAAAGATGGGGGAAAACCAAAGAAAACACTTAGTTCTTGTTTATCCTAGCAAAACCAAGACCTGTCTAAGCCAAACTAACATTTGATTATACAGGCTTATTTAGAAAAGATATGGAAAAACCTTACAGAATTTTACACCTCTCCTTTCTTACCCAGGGTTTTTTTACTGTGCTGAGAAACTGGGTTTTTTCTTCCCTAAACATTAAAGCAGAAGTACATTTCACAGCCTCAAACAGCATGAGGCACTGCCAATCAACACTAACCTGGAATCAAGTTTGTTTCTCTGAGAGCACTCTGATGAGCAGAGCTGGGAAACAAAAAACCTTATCTACTTCCAATTCTTGCATTGGTTTATTGTGTCATTATAAACAAAGTCAAATCACTGTATAATCTTTCCCTTTGTAATGCCAGACTCACACTTTATAGTCTTTAGAAAACTCACTAAGTTGTAGTGCTTAAAAACACTTCAAGTGAGCAGAAAGGCCTATTTTAGAATAGGTGTCTCTAGCATTTTTACTAAAACACACTGTGCATATAAATCTTGTCAATGTAAAATATTAATGATTCAAAGGACAGTTGCAAAAACTTAACTAGTCAACTCAAAGGCTTCAGTTCAGCAAGAGTCATCTTGCAGAATCAAGGCTTCTGACTATTTTCACTTACTGTACACCTATTATTCTTTCAAAACAGCTGCAGTAGAATGCTGACAAATCTCATAGGCCTACGTTTCTTTTTTCTACTATACTATAACGTCTTGTCAAAGCACGCATCGGTCCTTCCAGAAATCCTTAAACATACATAAAAGAGATGGACTAAAACATTAACAAGTAGATAAAACTGTCTGAGCCCTGCTCTAAAACCATGCTCTTCCACAAAAAGCACATTTCTTCTTATGGGATATTATTTTTGTCACCAGTGTTCTTGGATTCTTCAATTTTCGATTTTTATTTAAGTCTTATCTGCTAAAAAAAAAAATCTAACTACCCACTTTGGCACAAAAAAAATAGAGAGACATGAATTAAAATTCATTTCATTTCAAGAAAGATTTTTTAAAAATCTTTTTAATACTAAAACCTTTTTCTGGATACCAAGAAGCAACAAGGCTATCAATTATTTCTCATTTCTTCAAATGTCTCAGAGTAATACAACCAGCCATTTCAGGCCAAATCTATGCATCCAAAATAGGTCAGATCGCTAAAATGTTAAGTGGCACTTCTTCAGAACCCCATTTAACTACAACACTGTGCTGAACACACATATACTTCTATATTTATATGTATTTTAAGTTGCTAACTGATAAAGCAGACAACCTTCCCAAGGCCTTTCACCCGAACTAAGATGTTCACCATACACTGATGTTCTAGAAGCACTTACTGGAGCAATCAGTAACAGTTGTGTAAAGTAGGCCCGTCTTCCATGTGCTGGCACGGCCTCAAAGGCCACAGAGAGTCCTTCTCCACACATGCCACAAATATCAGGACAGGCAGTCCTGAGCTCAAATACTGGACTGTCATACTGAAAACTTCTGTTCAAATCTGCAGCAGCTTCGGGTGGCTGACATCTGTCATCAAACGCCGGGAAAGTGCTTGAAAACATCTGACTACAAGAGCAAAGCTGCTTAATGTAAGCGAAAGGCCTCCAGGAGTTCTTCTTTGCAGAAAAACTGTGCTTAGCAAAAAAGCTGGAATACGGTGGCAACTCAAGTAACGACACCTGCCCACCGCAAAAACATTTTTCAACTCTTTGTTTAACTTAAAACTCATTTTCCGTACACCTCGGTCTTCTTAAATAAACAAAGGGACGACACCGTGCCCTGTCTAACTGCACGACGCAACGCAGTTTCCCAACGACGCGTGTTTGGGAAGGGAGAGCCGGGGGGGAGGGGGGTGCTGGCAGCCCAGGGG